TCTCAGAGAGGGGCTGCCTTTCGTCCTTGGTCGTGAGGATCCCCCCACCATGGTCTCCCTCACCAGCTTCTTCCTGTGAGGCCACTGAAGCCTCCAGGCCCTGGTACCCACAGCCCCATCCCTCTAGGGATCAGGCCCCACTCAGAGCTCTCAGCCTGGGCCCAGCCAGGGGCTCCCTACCTCCCTCGTAGTGGCCTCTCTAGTAATGTCTGGCTCACCCCCAAGTGCTCAGTCCTCATGGAACCCCAACCTGCTGGCCCCTTACCTTGTCACTGCCCAGTGCTTCTTGCCTCGACCAACCTGGGCACCACAGCCTGTGCAGTGACCACATCCCTCGGCTCCCCCTCCGCCGGGGAGGCCCGCCAGCCATGGGCCCTGGGGTGGCACCTGCTGTGGCCCAATCAGTAGCTCTCTGAACACTAGGAAGAGTTTGGGGGGCGCCGGTGAGGGCTCCAAGGTGACATGGGGGCAGAAGCAAGACAGGCTGGGAGGGGGAGACTGTGGAACATTCTGGGCAGGGGCACCCACCTGAACAGGCTGGGTCTGTGCCTGGCCAGAAATGGCAGGAGGAGACAGCAAACTGAGGACAGGCTGGGCCAGGGGTCAACCCACTGACCGTAGTGGGGGTGCTGCAGGGAGGGTTCTGAGTCTTGTCCTCAGAGTGTCTGGAAGCCCCCAGGGTTCAAGCACGGGCTGCCGTGACCTGATGTCTATGTGAATGACCTGTAGATGAGAGCGCAGGTGGCCACCAGCATCACCTCTGGCTGGGTTCAGGGGCTGGAGAGAGACGAGCTGGGCCCTGGCCCTTCACAGTTTGACCTGACCAAGGGCTGACATGAAGCCTCACAGGACAGTGAAAGTCCCTCTCAAATCTCCCCTCTGCACACACACTCTTGCACCTCCCTGTGTGTGCATACACTCACTCTCACACATCCACACTCATAGCCTATTTCCAGCTTTGGAAGCCAAGGTAACCCGGAAAAAAATGACATGTGAGCCGAGCAGGACTCAGGAGAAGAAGGGGAATGTGAGTCCCCGTTTAGTCCTTTAATTAAAACCACAGTATCTTCAAAGAGTTGGAAGGATGGGTAGTAATAACACAGAGCCAAAATTAACAGGCTTGAGGAAATACAGCATGGAAACATAAAAGGAGAAGTAAAGTCAGTGAGGCAGGCTTGGTAATTACAGCCTGACCACAGACAGGCTGAGAGATCACTAGAGAGGCTACCCAGGAGGCTCGGGAAAGGATAAAATAGCAAAAGCAAGCATTGCCTCCACACGAGGGGCTCCCAGAGGAAGCAGTGAATCTATGAGGGGTCGGATTGTTGAAATAGGTGCTTTTTAAAGATTTGAGAATTAGAGAAAGACTTAAAATCCCAGACTGAAGGGTTCAAAGGGCCAAATGGGACCAGGTTTTAAAATATGCCTTTAGATTCACTGATGCAAAAACAGAGATGGTGGGGAAAGTCTTTAAACCCTTTTCTACAAGAGGACAAGAGCCGCTCGACATCAGAACATGAGAGAAAATGACCTCAGAGTGTTGCAGGGAAAGGCTTGAATCTTAAACCTGGCAGAACTATTACTGAAATGAATAGGATGAAAATACATCCTGAGACCCAAGCCTAAGAAGGCAGGTCACACATCACACAGGATCCTTTTGAACCCAGCTGGGGGCATTTTCAGCAGAAAGGGAAAATCATCAGCACTTAGACTCACTACACCAGAAATCCCTGGTGAGTGGGCTTCCCAGGTGGTGTTAGTGGTAAAGAGCCTGCATACCAACGCTAGAGATGTAAGAGACGCGGATTCAATCCCTAGGTCGGGAAGATTCCCCATGGAGGAGGGCACGGCAACCCACTCCAGTATTCTTACCTGGAGAATCCCATGGACAGAGGAGCCTGGCGGGCTACAGTCTATAGGGTTGCAAAGAGTCAACATGACTGAAGCAACTTAGCATGCATGTGACTTAACATGCACACACACCTGGTTGAGTAAAACCCTAGTGATGTTTGCCGTTCATGGAACCATCAAGACCTCTCCAGACCCTCATGTCCATAGTGACCTAGAACTAGATTGCAGGTTGCTCCAGAATCCCCGAGGGGCAGCGAGGTGCTTGCTTTGTCTGGAGGTGGGAGGCCTGATGGAGACAGTTTCCATACCATCTTATCAAGCTCTTAAAGAATATATACATGCCTGCATCCGTGCTAAGTCGCTTCAGTCATGTCCAACTCTTTGTGATCTTATGGACTGTAACCCACCAGTCTCCTCTGTCCACGGAATTCTCCAGGCAAGAATACTGGAGTAGGTTGCTGTGCCCTCCTCCAAGGGATCTTCCCAACCCAGGGATCAAATCCACTTTTCTTACATAGCATTGGTAGGTGGGTTCTTTACCACTAGCACTACCTGGGAAGAACTCAAAGACTACAGACACTGTTATATTAGGGGCAGCCACCAGGAGGGAAAAGACTGAATATATGACCTGCAAGATTAGCCAAAGAGATCAAGTTTTCTTCTGTGGGAGGGGACAGAACACATGAAAATAAGGGAGACGACCTAGCCAGATATAGGTGGAGCAGAAATTACAATAAGTGGTGGGGAGGGTTAGCTCTTAAAAAGATCGCGTTAAAAGGCAAGATACAGCTTCCTGCTTCTAGCCCTGATGGAGTAGCTCACCCCAGACCAAAATCCATTAAAAAGCAGGGAAAATATACAAGGAAACTTTTTAGGCATTTTACTGTGAAATGGTCAGTGTTTCATCAAATAGGGCTAAAACAACCCTCCCAGGCGGGTCTGGGAGGCACCCAGGTGTCAAGTTATCACAAGACACAGAAAATGAGACACAGTCAACACTAACAGAAGAAACGGACGCCCAGAGAGACCTGCCCGCGGGCCGGTGGAGGCGACGGAGACACAGACACATTTTAGTTTATTGGGACAGAAGAACGTGACTCAGCACAACAAATTGCTTACGGATGGAGACATGGTCATGGTGGGTGCTGACTGCACCACATCCAGTGGAAGAACAGGACAGAAAGGTTGTGAACCAGGGGCTCCACTCAGACCAAGGTCAGGGTGTGGGAAGCCCCTCTCCGGGGAGGAAACCAGGCACAGGCTGGAGGGGCTGGAGGGGTCTGGGGTTGAATCTAGTTAAAACTCACTGACCTGAGGGCTTAAGACCAGGTAAATTTTGTCGTAAGTAAATTTTATGTCAAAAAAAAAAAAATAACCTGGAGGCAAGTAGCCCAAAAGAGTGGTCATGGTTAATTTGGTGGGAATGTGGGTGATCTATTCTGCATGTGGATTTTCTGACTTGTTTTTGAGTCTCAAAAAAAGGAAAACACAGAAACCAGAAAGTGGGGGCTGTCCTCCTCCCTAGGGCTCCTGGTCTCTCCGAACCCAGGAAAGAGCATCTGCACGCAGGCCCCAGGGCCCCCACTGCTGCCCCACATCTGGCGCTGGATCCGCTTACGTAAGGAGGATTGGGGTGATGACGTCTGATATCTGCGTCCGGGCTGCGACCTTGGGGCCCGTCCTGTGTCCTGGTGAGCTGCCAGTCTGGGCTCTCCCCTAGCACCCCGAGATGACTGGTGCCCCAATAGCCCCCAGGGGGACAGGTGCCAGTCCGACGGGTGCCAGTCCTGAATGTCCAGGGGGCTGGTCTGCGGTTCACTGGCGGCCAGGTGGAGGCTGTGAACTCTACTCTCCTCCGCCCGGGCAGTACCCTCCAGCAGGACCTCTGCAGAAATGTCTTTGAACTTCACTAAATTATTCATTCAATTCTCCCAAGTTCCTCGTGACCCAGGCACAGCCTGGGGGGAGACCCAGAGCTTCAACCTGCCAGCTACACCCCTGACACACAGATTCTGGAGAGGCATAGCTTGACCGTCAGTGGAGAAGGGATTCCTGGGGCCTGGGGAGGCTCCCTCCACCCAGATGTGGCTCCTGAGGGAGGGGCCACATTGTTCAGGCCCCACCTGGCATCTGGAGCCTAAGGGCTTGCAAGAATCCAGAGAGCAGGGGCAGCCCACCCCCACATTACCACAGGGCCAGTGTTTCCCTGGGGTCTCAGGGGACACTGTGGTGGCCTCTGGTGCTCAGCCTTCAAGAGGAGGGGACACTAGGCCCCTGGGTCCATTGCCCTCCAACCTCCCCCGGCCACCTGGGGCAGGGCAACCTCCACATGGTGTGAGGCAGAGGCTTTTGGGCTGTGGAGGGTCCCCTCCACCCCCGTTTCTCAGCCCCTCCCCTGCAAGGCACCACACTCCAGAGGGCCCCAGAGCTAGCCAGACAAGTGGTCCTCAGGACCTCCAGAGTCACCACGGCTGCCATGTCAGGGAGGTCCTACCTGTTACTATGCCCCAGAGGGGTCCCCTGACTGTGAGCAGAGGGGAAATCAAGGGAGGTGCTGGGTGGGGAGCCCAGATCTGGGTCCCTCACAAAGTCTCAAGTCCACGGGCGGCCTGGGGGGCATCACCAGGCCAGCAAAGTGTCTGCCCAAGACCCAAGCACCCCTGCCAGGGAGACATCTGGGCTGCCTGGGGCTGAGGGTCCCTCACCCGAGGGGTCCTGCACCTGATTCTCCTACACAGGGACCATGTCTAACCACTCCAACCCCAAGGCTCCTTGGGTGCAGAATCTGGGCTTTGCCTAATGTGCCCAGAAGAGACGAAACCCAGCCCCTGCTCAGAATCCCCCCACTCCTCAGCTTGGGACCCCACCCCCAGCCACTCAGACACCCCCTGCTTGAACCCTGTCCCCGGCAGGTGAGGGTCACGTGTTTGCTGACTCACCTCTGGGGTCAGAGAGAGCAAGCCTGTGGACCCAGAGGTGCCCCAGGCCAGGATCTGTGCCTGGCTCTCGGGGATCCCACAGGGATCAAGGGCTTTGGGAGCTAAGAGGGGCTGAGGGTGGCTGAGTGGCATGGCCTGAGGATAGTCAGGGTTGCTGGGATGTTTGCTGAGAGCCATCAGCCGCACGTCCTTGTGGGAGGCCATCGTATCGCCATTCTCCGGTTAAACTTTAATAAGACAGGCAGTGACACCACCCTGCAGACAGGCATTCACCAGTCCCCCGGGCAGGTCCCCAGGGGTCAGCAGCTCCTTCCAAGGCCATCTCATAGCAGACAGAGGATGGGGGGCAATCTGGTAAGTAGCATGACCCCATCGAGTTCAGGGAGTCCCGAGTCCGGGCCCCTAGATCATGCCAGCCAGCCAGGGTGGCAGGAAGAGGCCAGCAGTCCCCAGCAGGCAGACGATGATGAACACCCAGAGAAAGATGCGGTCGATGACCATGGCCACATACTTCCAGTCCTCTTTCACCTGCAGACAGACACACACAGTCACTCCCAGCGGCCTCCCTCAGGCCTCGCCACAGCAAGCAACTTCGAGAAGCTCTGTTCCTATTCTTGCCACCAGGGTCACCAAGGTTGCAGGCATACCTGTACTGAGGTAAGGGGTGCAGCGAAAACGGCTTTGTCTGAAGTCTGGGCTCAGAAACCCTGGGCCGCAGGTGTTAACGCTGTCTATGGGGGGTGGCAGCAAAGCCACTGTGGGAAACGGGGTCCAGCATGGTGGCCCTACCAACTCCACCAGCCTGGCAGGTGCCTGAGCTCCCAGGAGGTAGCGATGGGGACACCTCTGAAGGAAGGCTAGGGTCCAGGCTGTGACATGGTGAAGTGTGCTCTGGGTTTTTGATAGTTGGTGGCACTGCGGGGACCACCCGGCCCCTGCATTTACAGATGGAGCCAGTGAGGCTGGAGTCGGCGGGTACCCACAGCCCCTCGCAGTGCAAGTCAGGGGCCAGAGCACCCTGGACAGTGGTGGTGGGGCGGAGTTGACCTCCAGCAAGAAGCCCAGGGCAGTGCTCACAGCTGGCTGCCCTTCACTCCTGCCTCTGCCCAGGGCGGGGCTCATGGCTGGCTGCCCAGGTGGCCTGTGCCCCTCATGGTCAGTGGGTGCTCAGGTCTGTCCCCAAAACCCCCGAGGGCGAGGGTCACGCATGAATGCAGGCACAGCCCTGTGCTGCGAGCAGGCTCTGAGCCTGCAGCTGCTGGGTGGAGGGCTCCCGGGGGACAAGGGAGGGGACCTCGGGCTCGAGGTGGGGAACATGCTGAGCCCACCACCTGCAGCCACTCCCTGGACCCAACGAGGAAGGTGGCTGCACCGTCTGGGCTGTAGGGAGGACACAGAGGCCCAGAGGCAGGACAGGTCACGTTACATGTCCACGCTGGGGGAGTGGGTCCCGACCCCACCTGGGGTGCCCCCAGGCAAAGCCTCAGGGAGGCCACAGGCGGGTCCCGGGTGGGCAGTTGTCGGCACTTGAGAGACCAGAAAAGAGGGGTACCTGGGCTTGGGCCAGCTGGACCCTAGCAGGTTCCACAGGCCTGGCCAAGGGCAGGCTCAGCCTCCTGTTTTGGGGGCCTTGAGAGAAAGAGAACTTTTCATTGCTTTTTTCTGCTCTGATGTTTAAAGTAATTGGCGGCATCATGACGGTTTTAAGCCAAAGCTGAAAGGACCGAGTTTATTCTCGGGTAACCAGAGCAAATGGGGTCACTTGTAAGTGAGGGAGCAATAGGACCCTCTGTTCCAGGAAGCAGCTGGTGGTGCTGCTGCATCCAAGCAGGAGCAGTCTTTCCAGCCACCCCCTCAGAGGTTGAAACGCTGCTCACAAAGCCGCCCAGCCCCCATCCCAGGTCGGTTCCCCTGAAGTCGCTTTGCTTCCCATAACCTGGGCACAATGCCGGAACCAGAACCAGGTCATGACAGCCAGGCCTGCGATGCAGATGGAGGGGTCTGGGGACAAGGGGCCGGTCCTGCACTAAAAACCGCTGGGTGCCTCTGAGACCATTCAAAGGCATCGATCTCTTCTCAGCAGCCCCTCAGACCCGCACGTCAGAGCTCCTCAAGAACTAGGGAACACGACGGGCCCAGAGCCAGTGTCTCCTGGGTGGAATCTTCCAGAAACCCTCGGATGACTTCACAACCACTTGGGATTCAGGGGACAGCTAGGAGGCTGGCTTGCTGTTGGGTGGGGTGGCCCAGCCACAAGACAGACAGTCCCCAAGGATCATGTGTGTCTGGGAAACATCCACAGGCTGTTCTCGAGGAGGCAGAGGGGCGAGGAGGTGGGGGAGGGAACCGCAGTGTCTTGCCTGCCTACGGGCCTGCTTTCCTCCAGGAGGAAGCTGATGTGGGGCAAGGTCACAGCCCAGGTTGAGCAGCCAGTACTGGCCAAGCAAACTGGGCGGTGCCCTCCCCCGCCCGCCTATGTGCTCCCTGCTCCACCCCACCCAGGATCTGAACTGGGGCTTGGCCCTCAGCCTGGACCCATCCTTCCAGTCCCTGACTCCACAGGGCCCTGAATGTGACCCGTGTCTGAGCACCTGCCCTGCCCGCCCAGACCCCAGGCGCCCTCTCTCTGGCCGGGCATGAGGGTGCTGGCCAGAGGGTCCTTTGTCCCAGGCCTGATTTCTCCTCTCCCCGTGCTAGGCCACAGAGGCCACTCAATCTTATCCCATCTCCTCTCACCGCAGACCCTCCCTGGGGGGCCCACAGCAGAGTGGGGGGCACTTGAGGTCGAGGGAGGCGCTCACCAGGTGCGGATGGTGCTGGGGGCTGCCTAACACCCCACCTGCAGGCTCCTTGTGCCCTGAAGCCCAAAGGAGATGCCAGAGGTCCACTCTGCCACTGGGCTACCACAGGGGTACCTCCTGCCCCCAAGCTGATGGAGGCTCGGGGCATAGGGAACAGCAGGTTGGGGTCCTGGTTTCTATGGCTTTCACCAGTCACCTCCTCCTTCAAAGTGAATGGGGGTGGTGGGTCCCCATGACATGGACAGGGCAGCAGGTCCCCCCCAGGTGGCCGTGGTGCAGACTTACCGAGAAGTCTGTGTCTTCCGCCTTCAGGTGGTCTGCGATGTACTGGACACCCTCCACCGCCCGTGCCAGGGCTGGCGACAGAGGCAGAGGCGGCGCTCTGGTGCTGGGGGTCTTGAGCGTGGCATTTGGAGCCCCCGGCTCCTTCCTGCACTGGCATTTGCAGGGGGAGGCCTGGTCTGGGGGCGGGAGCTCGGCTGAGGGAGCCTTGGTCGGAGAGGAAGAGGAGCTATCTGCCAGGTGGGCGGCTGGTGAGGCAGCCTCCTCTCGCGGCCCGCAGTACTGGATGCTCCGGGACCGGTACCGCACGCCATCCTCCACTGCTTTGTTGGGGCTGGACACGTGCTGGACACTTAGGGACCGGGTCTTGGTGAGTCCCGGGGCCCGGGTGCTGGTGGGGGGACAGCAGGGCCCAGGAGATGGGCAGGGGCTGGCCTTCTTGGCCTCTGAAGGCTGCAGAGTGGGCACCTGGTCCGAGGGTGTTGTGTGGGCTGGCTGGGGCTTGCTGGACTGGTCCACCCCACAGGTCAGGGACGGAGAGCAGGCGGGCTCCCCCTGGGGCTCCGGCCAGAAGTGCGGAGCACTGGCCGCCTTGTGCATGGACTCGATGAGCCGCCGGCAGTGGTCCTTGACCACGGATGGCCGCTTCATGAAGAGCAGGCGCGGCACGATGTCCAGGAAGACGCGGCGGACCCAGGCAGGCATGGTGTGTGTGCGCGGGGAGCGGTGATGCACGTTGAGCACAAAGACGGTGATGATGATGGAGAGCGTGACGAAGATCATGGTGAAGAGCAGGTACTCGCCGATGAGTGGGATGACCAGTGAGGTGGATGGGATGATCTCAGTGATGAGCAGCAGGAAGACGGTGAGCGACAGCAGCACGGAGATACAGAGGGTGATCTTCTCGCCGCACTCGGAGGGCAGGTAGAAGACGAGCACAGTGAGGCAGGAGATGAGTAGGCAGGGGATGATGAGGTTGATGGTGTAGAAGAGCGGCAGGCGCCGGATGATGAAGGCATAGGTGATGTCCGAGTAGACCTCCGCGCAGCACTCATACTTGCGTGTGTTGTAGGTGCCCACGGCATCCACAATGACCCACTCGCCACTGTCCCAGAAGTCCAGCTGGTCCACGCGGCTGTGCATGCTCACCAGGTCAATCTTGGCCTTATCATAGGTCCAGGACCCAAACTTCATGGTGCAGTTCTGCTGGTCGAAGGGGAAGAAGGTGACGTCGATGCTGCAGGAGCTCTTGTAGATGGCTGGGGGCGTCCACTGCACCCGGCCGTCGTGGAAGAGGTGGGCCTTGGTCAGGTGGGTGACAGCAAAGTCCCCGTCCGCACTGGGCAGGAGAGAGAGGTGGTGGGTGAGGTACCTGACACCCGAGGTCCAGAGCTCTCATGCCTCTGCCCACTACACACACCCTCACTTCACAGTGAGGCCTCGCCGGGACCAGACGGCTCTGGGCTCATTGCTCATGGTGCCCATGTCCAGCTCATTGCTCACCTGCACACCTTGCTGTTTCCCCTACCCTTGGGGGTGACACGCTGTGGAGACTGTCTCAGCAGCCCACACCACGCTTGACATCCAAGCTTGACCATGGTGATGACCACGATTATTTGGGGGCTAGAAGGGCCATCCATGCCACATTGGGGGCTCCAGATGCACTAGTGGCCCCAGGGCAGCACACAGAGTGCCTCGTTCCCTGCAGTCACCCTGGAGCTGGGTGGAAGTCTGAGCTGTCTCACCACCTTCTCCTGCTCTAGGCCGGCATTTTCTCCCCCACAGATCCCTCCAAACTTAGAGGCAAGACCCCTCCCCTTCTTGCATAGGTGAAGACTCCAGGGTCCAACAAGGCAAAGACCAGGCCCCCCAGAGGGGGACGTGGACTCCAGCCATCACATCCCAGGCCCTCGGCCCTCCTGCCTGTTCCTTGGCCTTGGGGTGCCCTGTCCATAGACCTGGCAGGCAACAGAGGTAGGGGCTGCTGCCCTGGCCCAGGCCTGGGTCTCCCAGGGACAGCCACTGAAGATGCCCATGGTGAGGAGAGGGGCATGTTGATGCCATGGGCGACCTGGGGACACCTGCCCGCAGTCCGCTGAGAACACTGCCTGCCCCCAGAGTCAGCCAGTCTCTCCTCTGCTGCTGGAAGTGCCCAGTCCCCAGTCTGGGTCCCAAGCTGTTATTGCCTGAGTCAGGAGGGCCCTCCCTCAGCCTGTTTCCCCGCAAGGCCCGAGCTGCCCACACCTACCACGTGGGGCACCCACAGGCAAGTGAGGGAGCAGCTGTCCCGGGCTTTGGCTCTGAAATGCTGACGGGAGACCTCCCCTCCCACCGTGGACAGCCCCACAGACACTAGTCTCCAAGCCCGTGTCTTCACGCTCCTGTGCTAAGGGCACTTCCACCCCGGGCCAGCCCCTCACTCTGCATGTGGGACTCTGGGACCCAGCCGCCCAGGGCAACCCCAGGAAAAAGAAGCTTTCCCAAGGGAAGCTGTCACCACCCCCACCTCCCTGCCACCCCCACCCCGCCCCCATCACCGCTCTAGGAAGTCTCACCCCTCCCCCACAGTGGGCTTCCCATGCCAGGGGACAAAGCAGCCCCCAGAAGCTGGGCCAGCAAGCCCGGGAGGAGTGCTCATTGGGACAGTTTCTGGGGAAGAGGGGTCACCCCGGCTGGTCAGATTCCTGCTCTAGGCTGAAGATGCAGTCCATGTGAGCGCCTCTGCCTGACAGGCCAGTGGAGGGAAGCCCCCGTGAACAGCACGGCCTCACATGCACTCCCCCCAGCGTTGAAGGTGTACCCCAAAGCTCTCAGAAAAGCCACCCTCAACCCTTCCCCTTGCCCAGCAGCCTGTGCTGACCACTGGACCACATGCAAGTGCACATGGGCCTGATCCCTGGAAACAGGCCCCCGTGGCCATCTGGCTAACATCACCACCAGCCCTGGGGTCCATCCATGCCCACACCCAACTGCCTCCAAAGAGGGCCTCGGTGCCAGCCTCCATCCCCAAGGGAAGCTAGGGGTCCAACCTGATACCTCTGGGTCTCAGTAGGGAGTCTAGAGAGGGAAGGGGCTGGGCTGCCATCCTGGGGGCTGTATGCCTCCCAGACCCGCTTATTGGGCTCAGTCACAGAGCACGATGCTCCCCTGGGTCCCAGAGTCCTGACCATGGTCCCTGTGTTTTGGGTCAGAGAGGTTCAGGCAGATTCAGTGCTGGGTCCCCTGGGGCAGGGGGCTGGGGGAGCTGAATGGGGACCCCGGGGGGCCTTAGGGGGCCTGGAGGACTCCAGTGCTCAGGGTCTGACTGGGCAGCTTGCAGAGGGAAAACAGAGAGCCTGCCCTACCTCCCACTCTCCAAGCGGCCCCCCTTAATGCATCCCTAAAACCCTCTCCTCCACGTGCAGCCACTCTCCCCGCTGCCATTACTGGAATCAATTAAGCTGCGAGTGGAGCCCAGTCTTTCTTAATCAAATAGCATTTGTAGGTCAGGCCCGACCCCGGGGCCCAGGAGGGCTTTTGTGCAGAAGCACCAGGGTCTGGGTGGGAGGACAGGGGGCTGTGGGCAGGGGGACCAAGTGCTGCCATTGGCTGTGTTCGTCAGTGCTGTGTGGCCACGGCCGCCCAGAGCCTGGGTCTTCCAGCATGGATTCAGCTCTGTGTGAGCTGGCCTGGCAATGACACAGCAGACAAGGGACACGAGAGGCTATCAGGCTGCCCCAAGGTCAAGGACCCAGCCAAGGTCCTGGGAAAGGACAAGTTCAAGGAGGCCAGCCCTCTGGAGCCCACGTCTGCCACAGCAATGCCCATAGCCCCCTGGCCCCCCAGCACAGAAACACCCTCCAGAGATGAGATTTCAGCTCAGCTTCCACAGCCGGGACACACAGTCCTGACAGAGGCTTTGTTTGCGGAGTGTGATGAGCTGGGGTTTGGGGACTTTCGGTGATGTCTGTGCAGGGAGCTGTGAGCACAGATGGAGGGGCAGGGGAGGACAGGGACAGGCAGGCTGTTCTGAGGGCTCCCTCTCCACGCCCCTTACCCCGCTCTCTGCTCCAGGACTGGGTGACCAGTGTGCAGGGGCCTAACCTCCCCAGACAGGAACTGATTCTGGAACTGACTCCAGACCAAGGGGGAACAACTGCAGGGCCTGTAGTCATCCTGGGAGGGGCTCTGACCCCTTCCTTGCCCCCCAAGAGACTGAAGCCACAGGGTTGGCACGGGCAGGGAAGGAGCCCTTAGGCTCCTGCAGGCCCCCAGAGTCCCCATCTCCTTGCTGCTTTGCCCGTCAATGGGCCTTAGAACCCTCTTTATCTCCGCCTGAGCCCTGGTTCAAGGGCTGAGCTGTCTGTCTCTTGCTCGCGCTGGCTTTGGCAGAGATTCCTGGAGGGGGCATGGCTGGGCGTGGCCCCACCCACTAAGGCCCCAGCTCACTTGTTGTACAGGACAATGTCTGGCCGCCAGATGAGCTCGGAGGGGATTCGGATGGAAGTCACGTTCTCATAGTCGGCGGGGTCCCAGTGCAGCTTATAGTCGTGCCACTCCTGTGGGAGAAAAGGAAAGAGGGGGATCAGAAGAGAGGGGTAGGGAGAGGGTGGGGAGGGGGCAGCGAGGGCTCTCTCCCACTCACCTGCTTCACCCACACATTCGTCGTCATCATCTGGTTCTTCTCGTCCTAGGGCATGAACGAGAAGGCAGGTTGTGATCCCTTCTGGTCAGGACACATCTATCTGGCCAAGCTTCCTTACCCACAAGGACGGGCCAGGGCCAAACATGGGGCCTGGGTGACCTCAGGAGGGAGGGAGTGTCTCGCCCCTTGAGGCAACCAAGCCCAGGATGGCAGGCCCAGAGGAGACTGAGGGCCACAGGGTAAGTCCTCGTGACCCTTCTGAGAAGGAAAGTGAGAACAGTGTCCATCTGACTTTATAGGTGGCCGGGTCTGGCCCCCTCCAGCTACGTAAGTAAGGGTATGTGGCACCCAGGGCTCCTGGATGCTGGAGGAGCTGCCCCCTTCCCAGCAGCCCATGCTGGTCCTGCCCACCTGCATCCCTCCCTCCCAGCTAGCCAGCCTGCCCCCTCCACTACCCCTGAGCCACCCACTCACTAGCCAAACTGCCTCTCCAGGCCTGGAGCCTCAGGACCTAGAGGTAGACAGATGAGGGGCAAGAACAGGTGAGGTGGGAGCAGGACACCAGGCAGGCTCTTCTCCAGGCCACTGAGCAGCCACCTGCCAGGTGAGAAGGGCTGGAACACACACACCACACACACACAACACACACACACACACACACTCACACTCACATACAACACTCACATGCACGCATACACACACACGTACACACTGACACACTCTCACACACATACACACAATACACACACTCACACACACACTCTCACACACACAATCACATGCACGCACACACACTGACACACACGTACACACTGACACACACTCTCACACACATACACACAATACACACACACACACACAATCACATGCATACACACTGACACACTCACACAATACACACACACATACACACACACTCACATACAACACTCACATGCATGCATACACACTGACACACTGACACACTCACACAATACACACACACATACACACACACTCACATACAACACTCACATGCATGCATACACACACACGTACACACTGACACACACTCTCACACACATACACACAATACACACACACACACACTCTCACACAATCACATGCACGCATACACACTGACACACTGACACACTCACACAATACACACACACACATACACACACACTCACATACAACACTCACATGCACGCATACACACTGACACACACATACACACTGACACACACTCTCACACACATACACACAATACACACACACTCACAATACTCACATGCACGCGTACACACTGACACACACACTCTCACACAATACACACTCACACACATACTTACACACACACACTCACAACACTCATGCACGCATACACACTGACACATACACTCTCACACAATACACACTCACACACATACTTACACACACACACTCACACACAACACTCACATACAATATTCACATGCACGCATACACACTGACACACATGTACACACTGACACACTCTCACACATACACTCACACATAATACACACTCACACACATACTTACACACACTCACACACACACTCCCTGCTCCCTCCACCCCTCTTCCCAGCCCTCCTTGTTCACTGGACACAGGCAGCCAGGCCCCAGCACAGGCTGGAGAAGAACGTCAGGTTCTGTGCATGGACGTAGGGGTCCTCTTACCCCACCCTGAACCTCCAGGGACCATGCCATACGCAGCCCAGGCAGAGGGTAGCTGGGTTGGGGCTGGAGGGGGCTGGCTCCTTGCAAAAGGTTTGGGGTGGGACACTTGCTGCTGATGGAGGGTACTTCTCAGAGAGCAGGGTGCCCACAGGGCCTGAGGGGCAGGGGCTGTTCCCCTGGGGAGGGTAGAGGGACTGGACACAGGCTCTGGGGGGTGGTACTTGAACCAGCCTCTCCCCACTTTCTGATGGCCCAACTTTTTCCCTTGTCGGCTCTAGACCAGGGATACGCAGGTTGTCAGGACAACTGCTCAGGCCAAAGAAACCCGAGGATGGTCAAGAAGTGAAGCACCCAGTGCCCAGACCAGGGCCAGGGGCAGATGGTTATTCAAAGGCAAGGCCCGGGAGCCCCACCTCCTGCCCCACCAGGGGACAAGCCCTGGGTCGGCTGAGTCATGGGAGGGGACCACATCTCCTGCTACCCCAGGCACTGCCCTTGGCCCTGATCTCCCTTGGGGCCACCTGGGACAGGCCGCCAGAGGACACTGAGGATAAGTGTGACCTGAGCGGGGCCCGGAAACCACTCCAACGACCTCGACCTTGGCAATGCAGTCCTGCAGTGGTGCCGCCCCCACCACACATCCTTGCATTCCCCCGGAGGCAGCTGGCGTAGCTTTGCCCCATTCCCTGCCCCCAGCTCAAGCTTCCAGGTGCCAGGCCTGGCCTCCTTCCCCTTGTGCCCACCCCTCACATACACCCCTTGCAGCTGTCCACCCGCACACCCCACCCATATAAAGTGCCCTTCATACATTCGGGCACCTGAAACGTCAGCCCAGGGCCCAGAGGCACCCAGGGATTCCTAGCCTCCTCTGCAGGCGTGAACACACACACACACACACACACACACACACACACACACACACACACCGGGGCACAAACCTGCAGCAAACACTACAGCCCTTCAAAGAGTGGGCAGGGAGGCGGCCCCTTCGACAAAAGGCCAGCACCCAGGACGGGCAAGGACGTCTCATCAGCACACACGTGTGCAGGAGTGTCCTTGGCCGACTCGGCTGCAGACAGCGGGGCTGGGAGCAGCTTCTGGCCAGTCCAGTGTTGCCATGGGGCCCATGGCGGGTCCCTCACTGGGGTCTCGGGACTGGTGTGCTCCGGCTGTCTCTCCTGGGAAAACTAGGGAGATGGAGGGGAGGAGGATGCTGTGACGTGGGAGTGGGGGAGATGCTGCAACATGGTGGCCAGGGGATGAGAAAACCCCAGGAGCTCAGGTAGGAGGCTGGGCCACAGTGCAGCTGACTGGGAACATGAAGCCACAGCCATACTGGGAACAGTGTTTGCAAATGCAGTGGGTAGGAACCCCCGTCATCCTGAACTGCCTTCTGGCTGCACCTGGGCCAGGAGTACTTTACAGGAAGCATTTGAGACTTGGTTCCAGGAGGCCTGAGAGCACAGGCCAGGATGGGGGACTGACCGGGTCTCTCTGCTAATGGGACGCAAGCATGGCTCTTTCTGTCAGTGTGAACGTAGCCACAGCTCTCACCCCCCACCTCCCAAAGCCCCTCAGATGTGGCCGGCTCACTCATCCCATTCCACAGGTGAGAATACCAGGGCCCCAGGGGCCACTCAACACACCTGGCACGAGCCAGAAACAAGGGCCTCCAGGCTCCGAAACTGGTGGCTCCCCCCTCACAGAGCTCGCTTGGGGTTGGGGTCCTGGCAGGGGCGTGGGGTGGACATTTGGAGAGATCTACAGCCCCTGGCAGCTCCTCTTGGAACCCAAGCTGACTGGAAACCCCAGTCCAAACCCAGCCAGCCCCTTGCAGCCAGCAAACCAGCTCCTGGAGGACTCCAGGCCAGGCTGGAGCCCACACTCCAAGACCCTTTGGCTGCTGCCCCAGGATGTGCAGCCAACACGCAGTTAGACCTATAGGACGGGCCCCCACCCTGAATGGTCACTCCCGCCCCTCGAGAGCTGCAGCCACTCGGAGGCTGGACCTCGGCCTCCTCCCAATAGCCTCCTCGGTCCCCATCCAGGAAAGTAAACACACCTGACAAACAGCCTGTCTGACTCGCCAGGTTGCCCCATTCCAGACAGGTTAGGGGGGGCCTCCTGAGCAAGGTGAAGGTCAAGAGGTGCTGCCAGGGCACCACACAGCCCCACCCTGACCCACTCAGTACCAGGACTTACCCTAGACCCTGCACTGGCCCCACAGACGAGTTTTCTGCTCTGTCTCTGGCTGTCATAGCCCTGATCCCCTGCTGCAAATCTGGCCCTTTGAGCTTTTCTACATGGAGAGGGAAGAATGGGCGGGGCCTGGAGGGGCATCGTATGGAACAGTCCTTGCCCCGGAAGTTGCTTAGGTGTATGTGCAGGACTCAAGCAGGGCTGGGACTCAAATGCAGCCCTCCCAGCTCATTCAGCCCCCTGCCCCCAGCCCTGGGGCCATCTCCAGGCCTGTCCCTCCCTGACACAGGTTGGCCCTGAGTTGCCGACCCCCACCCCATCCCCAGCACCTACCACGTCAATAAGCTGCGCGATGGACAGGCCGAAGTGGACAAGAACCACATCCGAGATGTTGGCCACGGGCCGGGACCACTTATTATAGCCAGAGAAGAGCTTCTTCAGCAGCCGCTCCTCCGCATGAGCCCGGGTCTCTGCGTGGCTGCTCACTGGGGGGACACGCGGGTGCGTGGCTCAGAGGCGGGGATGGTGGCCATCCAGGTTGCGCCCTTGGGCCTCCTGCCAGGCCACACTCAGCACCTGGGCTCCCTTCCAGCCCCTCAAAGCACATTCCTCCCTCCTACCTCAGGACCTTTGCACCTGCTGCCCTACTTCCATTCACAGTTTCTCCTCTACCCCAGAGAAAGGAAGCCTTCTGAGTACCGGGTCCATCACTGGAGGGTATCACTGATGTGATGAGTGCTGACTGGACGGCTCCCCATCGGACCGTGACTACAGGAGAGAGGGGCTCTATCTCGAGCTACTAGCACAGTCCTGAGCACCTTGTCTCGAAGCACAAAGTGGGGGTAACCTCAGGACAAGAGGGGGCAGGCCCAGGCAGGGAGAGAAGGATGGGGAGTGATGGTTTGACCCCTGAGGGTTTCCTGTGGCTGCAGCAACTGCAAGCGATCATCCTGGAAAATCATCCTGGATGCATGAGTGACCTGGCACCCCGTGACTCTGGCACGCTGCATTCCTGGATGGTCTCTCCTCGATGACCAGGTCTGGAGTGAACCTGGGAAGGGGTTTCCTCATTCAGCCCAGCCCAGTGGCCAATCTGTGGTCTGACGGCTTCCCTGCCACTCTTGGGCACCTGTGCTGCGACCACTGCATTGTGGAGGGCATCTGAGAGCAGATGCAGGAGACCCTTGCAAGGACAGGAGACCCTTGCTTACCTGCTCCTCTCAGCTCAGTCCTGCTCACCTGGGAGTTACAGCTGGACCCATGAGGGCATTCACAAGTACGCCTGGGGTCAGTCCTAGACCCCCAGGACCTTCACTCCCAGCCCAGAGCCCCAGCCTGGTCCCTCAGACAGTACAGTGTCACTCCTTCCTCACTGGGGAGGCCAGAGGATTAAATTCCCTCCATGCACCCCTGAAATAGCAAGGTGGCTCCCCAGAGAATGGGGAGGAGCAGGGGGCTGGAACCTCGACAGTCCTAGTGAGCCTGGGGGAGCAGAAGGGTTTTGGGTGGGGCCCTATCAAGGGCAGAGACCAGCCCTCTGATTCCCTAGCCCCCAGGGGTGGAGGGTGGGACGGCGTGGTGCAGCCTGGAAGGAATTTGGGCAGAATGGATAAACGGGGGTGGGCCGCACCTCTCTCCATTCAAGTTGGAGCTTCTGGGTCCAGCTCTTGAAACAACATCTCCCCCACACCCACCCCAATCCTTTTCTTCGAATTGCCGAACAGGTTAACTCTTTCCTCGCCTGGCTCCGCCCGCGTCCGCAGGACAGTCTTCTGCGTCTGGGGGATGCGGGGGGGACGGGGGGAGGGGGAACCTCCGCGGCTGCCCCGTTGCGCGCACCCGCGGCTTGGGACCGCAGCCAGGAGCCTCCCTTCCTCTGGCTCCGGAGGTCCGAGGCCGCCCTGAACCGGGCAAAAGGGGGTCCTTCCAGCGCCCCGAAACTTACCAGGCAGGAGGCCGGCCCCCAGCAGCAGCAGCAGCAGCAGCGGCGACGTCCCCGGGGCCCCGAGCTCCATGGCGCACAGAGCCGGCTCTAGATGCGGGCGGCTCCCGGCTCCGCCGCGCCCCTGCTCTGAGCTCCGCGCGCACCCAACTTCATGCCCCCCGCCCCGCGCGGGCCGCTCCGTCCTCAAAGCCTCGCTCGGTAGCTCCTCCCGGAGGGCGCGGCGGCAGCTACCGGGCCGGGATCACGGGCTGTGGGCTCAGCGGCGCGGCCCCGCCCGGACCTGCCCGCCTCCAGCCGGCGAGGAGGAGGGGGAGGAGAGAGCAGGAGGAGGGAGCAGGGGGGAGGGCGAGGACCGGGAGGAGACGGGGAGGGGGATGCACCGCGAGTCGAGAGGGGGCGCGGGGGCTGAGGTCGGCCCGCGCCGGGGCAAAGTTTCCTTAGACCTCCCAGGGCCGGGCACGTGCCCGAGCCACGAGTGGGGGCCCGGCAATCGCTGCGTGCGTCTCAGGGATCCCGGCGCGGGCTGGTTTGCGGACCACGAGACATCAACCCTCACCCGGTCCCCAGCCCCGTGCCTCCACAGCCTGCCTGGAGGGAGGACGCGCCCCAGGTTCTCGGGCGCCAGGAGCGGCGCGCGGGCGGATGTGGTTAACTTCACCACCCCCGCTCCGCTGTGCAGTTTGGAAATCACAGGTCCCTAGTCGTCTTCCCCAACCAGGCGCTCAGGACAGAATTGCCCCCATCGTCCTGTCCCCCCGCGGACCGGGAAGCGTTCAGAAGAGCTTCGACGCGGCAGCCGGCCTTTCTGGGGCGAGGAAAACCCTGAAGTCCCCTCCCCAGACGAAGCCGCTTCTTGCCGCCTCCAGGTCGGGCCCGGGCCGGGGTCTGCTGCCCCCTCCTCTGAACGGCCTGCGGCCGGGTGGACTGCGCCGGCGAGAGGGCAGACCCCATTCCATGCGCGGTGGGCAGCGGCTGAGGGGAGGCTGTGGAGGGTCTCAATTGAGACCCCCGCAGAACAGTCCGCGGCGCCCCTGGACTAGTCTTGAACTACATCGGCCGCAACCGAGATGACCGGGTGCCACGCTCGATGACCCCGCAGGGGCTCCGCCCTTAGGTGGGTCGAGGGGGCCGCCGGCCGAGCAGCAGGGTCTCGAAGGAGGGCCGGGAGGGGCCGCTTTGTGCGGCGGCGGAGCCACAGTCTGCGGCGAGCACACCGCGCTGCTCGGCAGAAATGCGAACCCCGCAGCCATCCGTGCGCAGCTCCTGGGGATCTGCGGCCGGCGCGGGCTGGGGGGAATCCAGCTCCCAAACCGAGACTTCGATTCCGGTCGAGGATGAGGGCAGAGAAGGAGGGGCTGGAGCTGCCCCCGCGCTCCTCCCGCTTTGGCGCCCGGCCCTTGGGGGGACTGAATGATGGTCCCGGAGGCCCCTGGTCCCCGCCCCTCACAGACGATGCTCTGCAAGTAACAGGCTTGGTCCCAAGGTAGCAGCTTCAATCAGGGGAGGCCCCTGCCCCTCCGCATCCCCCAACTCCTGCCCCCTTCCAGCTGGTTTCCCTGTATTCCCTCTTCTCCCTCCTCCCTATCTCCCCTCCCCCATCTCCCCTCCCTTCCCCCATCTTCCCTCTCTCTCCTCCATCTCTCCTCCCCCTCCCCATTTCCCTCTCCCACCTTCCCTGCCCCTCCCCAAGCCCCTTCCCCCCAACTCTGGCCAAATGCTCTGAGGCCTCCAAGGTTCCCCACCCTGAGCGGTCTGTCCACTCTGGCTAGTGCCTACAGAGCTTTCGAAATGCCTGGTCCCGGGCAACAGCCAACCTCAACAGTGACGGTTGCTCCCTTACCCTGTCCACAGGCTCGCTAGATGCTGGCCCAAGCCACTGAGACAGGTGGATGTGGCTCCCACAGCATCCCTATGAGGTGGGTTCTTTTGTTATCTCTGTGTCCCAGTGAGGAAATGAATGGACAGAGGGGTTGTCCCACGTGCCAAGGTGATGCAGTCAGCACCAGGGTTCCTACTGGGAGGTCTGGGTCTGCACTCTGGCCTCCCCCGGCCTCAGGCATAGTGTGTCCCAAAGCTGGCCTGTGCTCCTGCAAATTGGAGCTCCCCACAGTCTGCCCTTCAAGGGGCCTGCCCTCTGGGAGTCCTCCTGGACCGTGACCCCCAGGTGCATGGCCTTCCCTCGGATTCCCCGCAGACTCAGAGCCTGCTCCACTTTGTGGCCTCTTTCCCTTTCCCCAGCCAGCTCTGTATCAGGATCCAGAAAGTTCTCTAAGGTGAAGACCTGCCCTGAACTAGGAGCTGGGGAGCAGGCCCTGGGATGGCTCACTGGATATAGGGGTGGGGAGGGCACATCTCCCCCTCGCCTCTCCTGGACCTCTCTCCCCACTCACAGTAAACACTTGATCACATGAGGTTCAGAGCCTGGGAACCCCCTCACAGGGAGGGGATGAGCCCTGGTGTCTTCCTGGTGTCTCTCTGTCCATCCCTGCTGGGCACTGTCCCAGGGCAGTAGGTTTCTGCTCCATGACCTTTTCTTGGTGGCAGAGGCCAGCTGTGCTCCAGGTCCCTCCAAAGTCTCCTCCAACCACCTCAGCATCCCTGGGAAGCAGAGGTCAGCCTTCCCTTACCTGGCAACCTAGAAAGGTGAGGTAGGGATGGGATTTGCCTGTCTGATGAGATCCGGGTGCTCCTGGAAATGTTGGGTTGGAGTCAGGAGAGAGGGTGAACTGGGCCAATCTGTGAAGGCTTCCTGGAGGAAGGGGCACCCAGGAATGCAGCCCCTGGGACCGTGTATGTCCACTCATAGCTGGGAATCGACTGGGGAGTTGGCTTAAGTTTCCGACTCTGGCATCCCACCCTCAGAGAGGACTCATCCTCGGCCAAGACCCAAACTCCATCTGCTGACAACCATCTCCAGACCACCCTGATACAGGAAGCCTCAGAATCAGAGATGACTGGGCCCAAGGACCAGGCAGAGGGTCAGGCCAGACCCCCATGCAGCCTGGCATCCTGGCCCGGTCCAGGTGCTACCCTTGCCGGGGGTGGGGCATGTCTGAGTAGGGAGCGAGGCCTGGGCCCTCTCAGAAGCCTACAGCCTCTCTCAGCCGGGTCAGCTCCGCGTCTTTTCCCTGCACCTTGGCCAGCTCACACAGTGCACAAAGAGGCTCTCCATGGCCATTCCCATGGGTGAGCACAGCCAGGGAACTCAGCTGCGGCCAGCAGGCCCATCCTTTCCCGTGCTGGAGGCCAGGCTGGGGTGCTGCCCGTTGTTGGGGCCCTGGCAGGCCCAGTGGAGCGCCCACTGTGTGCCCACACTCACACACATCTGTCCAACCTTGTTAGGCTTTCCCCGTGGATTTGCTAATGCAGAGAGATTAATCGGGCCTAACTCATTAATTTGCAGGGCCCTCCCTCCCCACCTGCGCCCAGCTGGAAAGCACTTATTGCAGGAACCTAGTCATCATCCTATCGCTAAATTAGACTCTTACTCCAGGCCTCTAGCCCCTCCCTTCTGCTTCTCCTGAAAGTGCTGTTTCAAGGGAAAGGAAAACCCCCATTCACAAGCGGTAAGACCAGCTTTGGGGAACCGTTCGAGTACTGCAACAGGAATGGTGTTCTCTGAGGTGACCTCAGGCAGGGCCTGAGGGCAGGAACAATGCAGAACAGCCACCCTGAAGACCCCTCCCCACACGCTCCCCCAGCCAGTGCTAGGCCCCTGGTTACAGTCTCTCTCTCTCCCTCCATTGCCCTCTCTGCCCTCCAACCTGTCCCAAGGACATTGCCATGGTAACCAGTTGTTGACATAAACAGAGATTGGAATTAAAGGTGGGGTCTTAGGCTGGGTCGAGGGCTGAGAGAGATAGCAGGGAGGACCTGGGAGTGGACCAGAGGGAGTCCATCAGCCCCAGGCCCCATGTGAGCCCAAGGGCAGTGCTGGGAGCCCAGCAGACCAGGAGGAGGGGTCCTGCCTGTACATCCACCCACTGGGGGATTTCCTCTCCAGCCTTTCAGCCAGGCTCACCCATAGGGGAGGGGATGGTCCACCCTGACCCCAACCCCATCTCCCTTCACCTCCCAGGCCCACCCTGCTCCCTCCCTCTCTCTGGCCTTCTTCTCTCAGCACCACCCCCACACACAACCCAGCCATGGAGGTCCTTTGAGACCCAAATACCCCTGAGAGGGGCCACTTGACAGCACAGAGCTCCCCTTGGATAGATTTCTCACCCCACCTCCACTCTGCTCCTTGACAGCGCTTCCCTCTCTTCCTAGAACTTTCATTCCCCCACATCACATCTATGGGCCCCTCCCTGCTCCCTGCTGACCCCCCCCCCCCCACCAATAATGGAGGCTCTAGGCTTTGCACATACACACACACAGGTGGCACTTATCAGGGCTGTTAAATATGTTGAATGCATGGATGGATGGATGAGTGGGGAGTGGGTGTCTGGCAAGAGGGCATGAGGGAGGCTGGGCCCACAGGGAGCCTCTGTGTGTCTCTTGTCAACCCCAGCCTGGCTGAACCCCGCATATTCAGGCAAGGAGGATCCAGGTGTTCAGGGTTGGTCCTGGCATCCAGGAAGGTGCTGCCAGGAGGGAGGGATGGTAACCATGTTGGCTGAGGCAAAAGGAAGGATGCTGGGAGTTGGAGAGGGTTCAGAGACCTCCTGTCTCCTCATCCTTTCCTCATCTTTCATCAGAAATGAATCCGGAGTGAGACTAGTGGCCTTGCCTCCCTGGTCCTGGCAAGCCACCCTGCCCTCCCTCAGGTCAGAGGTCATGCCCACTCCTCGCAGCCAGTCCTGAAGTGGGACCTCCCCCTGCCCACACACACAGGGAACCCTGCCCCATCAGAGCCCCAGGCTGGCCCTTGCACCATCTCTCTGGGCCTGTGAGGAAGATCCTGGCCTGGCCTGGGGATCGAATCCCCCAGCAGGAGCCCTGGTCCAGCACACATGAGAGTGAGTCCCTGAGGGAGGGGTGCAGTGTCCAGCCCACAGGTCACTCTAACTGCCACAGGGAAACTCGCAGCCTCCTGGCCTTGGTGGGGTCCCTGTTGTCAGTGCCACGAAG